ATGAATGAAAGATAGGGTAGGCCAAAGTATGGAACCTTGGGGGGACACCGGCGTTTACAGGATATGGCTGAGATAAGACCCCGTCTACTCGGACGGAGACGTCGCTTGCAGAGCAGACAACGGAGCAACGATACCAAAGACGGGTGGAGCTTGAATGTAGGTAATTTCGACAGCTGACCATGCCAAACGCGGTCGAAGGCCTTTGAAATGTCGAGCGACGCCGTGTGAGTTTCTCCGTGGTTATCGAGTGCAGCCGACCAGGAATGTGGTATGACCCCCAGTAGGTCTCACGTAGATCGACGAGGGCGAAATCCATACTGACGGTTATTCGAGAAACGTGCGCAGCTGGTCGGATAAAATGGTCTCAAACACTTTCGAAATTACAGATGTGAGAGTGATGGGACGGTAGTTTTGGGTTCGGGGGCTTCGCCGCGCTTCGGGATTGGAAAAATAATGGTATTTTTCCACGGAGTAGGGAGAGATTAAATGTCAAGTGAAGCACGGAAAATTCGGCGTAGAACAGCGGCTTACTTCAGGGCACATTTTTGAGACGATGGGTGGAATGCCATCCGGACCGGTTATCCCTGGCGGAGGATGCCAAACGCACAGCTTTGTGAAAAGTGAAGCGATCCTTAGCTCTCTGTATAGTGAACGAGCATTTCTCTCTGGCTTGCACGAGGCGGTTGCGGGATGTTGGATTGGGTGAGTGGCGCCACGTACGGCACGGTTGTGAGCATGAATAAACCACTCAGGAGATCGTGATTTGCTGCGTTTGGAGAGGTGTGGAATATTGAGGTACATGCCCTGAACAACATTCCGTGAAGTTTGAAATACGTGGAAACATCAGATTTAAATGAAACCTAGGGCTAACAGGCCGGATTTCACGAAAACCGTCCCAGTTGGCTACGTAGTAACGCCAAAAGATGCGTCTGGAGGCAAGTGATGAGACGGTGTGAGAGAAATGAGTGAGACAGGAGATAGACCAATGAGCCTAATGAGGGAAGAAAGTTGTATTNGAAAGAACTGGGAATGGACGAGATTGAGGTCAAGGGTGTGGGTGCGGTTGGGGAGGTCAGCTAGTTGGGTTAAGATGTTGACGACAGCAAAAGCTTCGGCTTCGAGCCCCATGTATGTAGTGTCTGAGGAGTGCTTCAGCCATTCCTTGTTGTGGGCAATGGTAATTTGGGTATTAGGATCTGTTGCCATTAGTGTCTCAATTTTAGAAAAGATATCAAAAATAAAATAATCGCTTCTGCTTGGGAGGTGATAAATAGTACAAAGATAGTGTTTGAAATAAGGGAATCGAAATTTCAGCAACGTAATCTGAAATTCACGGTTAGAGAAGTGCAGGTGCGAAAGTCGGAAGAAGCGACGGAATGATGGATATAGGTGCAGACACCAGCTTTAGAAAGAAGAGAGGTATGGAGGGAGTATTTAGGTATCTGAATATGGGCAGTGTCTGACGAAGAAGAGATTTGTGTCACCGTCAGAAATGAAGTCAAAGGAGAAAAATATTGGAGAAAGAGATGTACAGAGTTAACGTTTCCGTTTAAACTTTATACATATGACAGTTTTGTTAACAACGGTGGTGATTGTAGTATAACTAGCACTGGCACTCCGTAGCCATGCTTAAAGGAACGATTTCTAGGGGCCAGACGAAGTTCAGTTTCACAAGGCCAACTGGTTGGACGCCTGGCTCCCCCTGAATACAATCCCATTACAGGAGGGCTCCTTCAATTGGATGAACAAGGGTAGGAGCAGTTGGCCGTTCAGTAACGTTAGTGGTAGGCATCTCTGCTGTCATCCGGTTCAATACCATGCCATACCTATAGGGGCCTTATGTAGTTTGCCACTCCAAGTCCCGGGGCTTAGGTTGCCGGTTTCCACAACTATACAGCAGGTCCTCGTGACCATCGGGGTTCTCCCCGCTGCTGTCCATCACACTTTGGTGTGGAATAAAAAAAATTGGACGTACGAATAGAGTACCTGGGGCTCCCTCATGAAAGTGGGATTAGTCATTGGACAACTACCAACCGTCCAAGCTGGGCTGCCTCCAGTCAATAGGGTACTGCCCTGTCCATGTTCCTCCTGGCTCATGGGATGCATGAGAGTAAGGGTCACTCCTGAAAAGCGAACCCACAATAGACGAACCAGCAAACAGCGCATAGATTCGGAACCCGAAAGTCTTGCGTAACAGGCCTCCAGAATTTCCCATACATATGCTTCAGGCTCCCGCATTAGGTCTACGCCCCAGTGAATTGTGAGTAGACATTTAAGTCGGAGGCTCCGGTTGGGGTTCCCACTTTGTAAACCCTGTTTCTGACTCCTCATCTTGCGAGATGGCTCTTGTCTGCGCCACGCATGGGACA